TGTGTGTGTGTGCGCGCAGGCGCACACGTGTTAGCACTGGATACCATCAAGCATTTTGCACATCTCACAGGTGGTAGCAGAAAGGCCCTTAGTCACTTCAGAAAGCTCAAAAACTTAACAAAAAGNAAGTCTGGATGGGTGAGTGTTCAGCCAGTGTCCCACTCTGGAGAGGATGGCAAAGGGCTCAAGCCTCTGCCAGCCACTGAGCCAGGCAGTCTTGTGCTCAGAAACATCATTTCTTTTTCCTTCCTGCTGAAATGCCTAACTTTCTTTGAGGTCTGCTTTTGTGGACCACTGTCTAAAGCCGTTGCTTAAATTAGCAGAATCTGCTTTCAGGTCACATGATCGCTTACTTGCGCGCTCAGTGATTAGCTTCTCTCAGCACTTCTGGTCCCATCAGAAAATGGAAATACACCTGCCAGAGAGAATTATCAATCTTCCTGACTTCTCTTGTCCATTTGACCGTGCGAAGCCAGTAAGCCTTTAGATAACTTTGAATTAAAACTCATTATGCTTCCAGAACAGGACAGTGCCACTTCTAGTGAGCTGAGCTGCTTGAGAGAGGCCTTCTTATGAGGTCTCCATTGCTGCCTCCCACATACAAAGACAGAAATGGGCATGCAATCCAAAGGGATGCGTGCAAGTGATGCAAGTTATTCACCTCCTGTCTCCCCCGCATGCTGGAGTGGAGCTGGCCCTTCCTCGCTCTACCAAGAAATACATTTGTTCTCGGGTCTCTACTTAGGCAACGTTGCTTCAAGATTGTCAAGGACTTTTCTGCACATGCCTTATTTCCTCAGTCACTTTAGAATTATTTTTTGAATATTAACTATTGCTGTGTTGGGAGTGGATCTTTGCTAGCCCTGCTCTTAGGCATGGAAGTTTGTGGTTGAGATCCCTAATTGTATCCATGTCAATAATACCCTGGTTACAAAAGTTTTGTGTATCCCACAGGTGAATTCTCCTTGATCTGGTGAAATTACTTTCAGGCTTACGTTTTGTTGAGTTTGGCACGAGATATATGCTAAATAAGTATCCCTTAGCAATAGAATAGCCCTACCACAGCCAGCTGTGTGCACGATGCCACCACGAGCAATTCATAAACTGTGTACATACATTGACTCGTAAGTAAATTTCCAAAGTTATTGATAACTTCCAAAAAGTCAGAGGGGAAGAACCCAACTTCTTCATTCCTATCACAGTTTTCTAATAAGACACCACACCTCTGGTGAATACATGACTTCATGCCTGCTCTGCTCCTCCAGCCCGTAAGTGTTTGCATAGACCAGATACCCTGTAGCCAGCTGGAGGCTGCACCCTGCAGTTCTGAGGCTCGTGAGTGGGGATAGGCAGGCAAATGAACTCACAGTGGTAGAAAAACAAAATCAGTATTTCTGCATGTGAGGTGATTTTGAGTATGAAATTCTTACAGTATATTTTTTAAAAAATCATTGTTGCTCCCAAGCTACTCAGTGTTATTATTTTCCCTTCCTGACAGCACATTTGGAAACAGTTTGTCTGTCTAATGCATTCACGGTCTAATTAGTCCCTCATCAGTATTTACCAACAAAACAGATAACGGCCTATCGAGCTACATGGAGTTGATGCATTGCCAACAAGAAAAATTAACAGATAGAATAACTGACATCATATTTTTCTTCAGCTGTGTCCCACTTCTATAGACAGATGCACAATTCTGAGTATTTCCAAATATTAAAAATCTCCATTACTAACTCAACAATTTTGTCTATCCAAGTTTTCACCTTTATTAACTCTAGTCTAATGTTTTCTTCTGTTAAAATATGGCTCCTTGGCCTTCTTGCTTTACATCGGGTTTGAGTGCTTCATGAATAGACGGTGGCCCTAGAAGGCAGGAATGGAATTGGAGTGGAAAACCAATGTTTAGCCTTCACAGTGACCTGAGGTGCTTTCCTACTTAGCCCAAGAGGCTGCTAACGGGCGGGCGTGAAGTGGTGGTGGTATTTGATGACTTTTTTTGTTAAGCTCTGTTGTAATGGATGTTACCTGGCGGGTTATGGGGTGGGGGATGGATACGCAGGAACAGAGTCAACGGAGCTGAACTAGGTCCAGTGGTCTCGTTGAGAGATGCTTCAGGGGCTTAAGTGACATCCAGAGCCTTTGCTCTCCCCAGCATCCTCCCCTTCAGACCCACAACACACCAACCAAGTCTTCAACCTTATTACCGACCTGAAGTGAAATGATAGTTGTGCTAGTTTAAAACCAGCAGATTGGGGGAATACTAGACTAAATTTAGGGGGGGGATAAACACTGTTGAATATGTGTAATAAGATGATATTGGGCTTGTGGGTGATGGTTACAGAAGGGAGAATTCACTAAAGACTTCCATCACTCCATTTCCTTGACTTTTTTTTTAAGAGTCCTTTCAAAATAAAATAAAAAATAAAATAAAAACCTTGTTGATGAGCCTGCAGTAATAATTGTCCATATTTATGGGACAAGTGTAGCATTTTAATATGTGAATATGAGTATGAATCAAATCGGGATAATTTAGATTCTTCTGTCTCCTTATCATCCTTTTGTTTGGAGAGTCTGGATGCCCTCCCCCTTATAAAACACATTATAGGTTAGTGTAAACTGTAGTCCCTGACTGAGGACTAGAATTCTACCATTTTAAGTTCTCCTGTTAGCTCTGTACCTCCCCTTCTCCACCCTCCCTGCCCTCGTCCTTCAGATGCACTCCCACGTGGTATTTCTCTCATGTTCAATATTCCTCTTTCTGTTTTTAATAACGTTATGTAACTGAAGCAAAATATCAGAATTATTCATAGACCAGTTTTGTTGAGGTTACTAATGACTACGTTTACTTGTAAGTTTTCCCCAGTATGCTTAAGATATCTTGCAGTGAACTTAGCTTTTTTTTTGCAATCACACTGCCTTTTTTCTTTCTCATTTTGTTTCAATAGGAATATGCTATATGTTTTCCCACAATCCCCTTCCTTCCTACCTTCTCCCCTCCCACCTTCCCCCTGCCATCCACTCTCCCAATTTACTCAGGAGCTGTACTTACTTTTTAATTAAGAAAAAAATTTTAAGAAAAAACATAAATAATAAAGGTTGTAAAGCTATATATATTAGAATTGCCTATATGTATCCTTGCCATAGAAAAGTAAATTTATTTACATATTTTCAGTATGGCCTATCTAGCTCAGCACTTGATAACAAAATAATGTATAGGTTTTTTCACCTGGGATATATAATCCTACTCAAAGAACCATGACAGCATCCATCATAATTTCCTTAAACAAGAAAATTATGGGAAAAATGTTTTCTTTTGCTTGTTAAATATTATACAATGATCAAACAGCGTGAGGCAAACTGTCACTGTGTTCTTGTACAATGTTTCTTTTTCACATGCTCCAATTTCCAAAGTTCCCATGAACCCCGTAAAGGAGTATCAAGCCACTTCCTCCATCAAACATTTTATAATGAAGCTGGAGTACAAGGACACAGGACTGATGAGTCAATTATCAGTGCAGTTAGTGACACAGCTTTAAAGCCGTCTGCCTTGTACAGTGTCTGTCACACAGAGACCCCAGGGGACGGAGGAGGGACAGAGGGGTCGAGGGATGGAGGAGGGGCGGAGTGATGAGCAAAAGAGCAGATGGGCTCACAATTTATAGGACTACAAAGAAGACTGATGGACAGCATTGGTCGAATTTCAGTAAATCTATTGGCTTTTTATTGATCTGATAATACTTTAGGAAGTATATGGACCAGCTAGGTGTTTGGGAGCTCAGAGTAGACGGGGTTTCATTCAAAAAAAGGAATTAGGACATTTAGAGCAAGAGATTTATATGGGAAAAATCAGTAAGGCTGAAGGTCCAAGATTTCCCCAGACACTGGAACAGAGGACCTTCCCTGGAGCAAAGGATCAGTGGGGAGGTTGCTTTCACATTTGCACAGCCAGGTATCCTAGAGAAATATGAATATTAAATAACCTGTAGACATGGGCAGCTATGGGATTTTTGCATAAAACAGTTAATGCAATAATTAAAAAATGTTTTAGGCAAATCAGTTATATGTTTAACTCTGTGTTGACTATAAAGATATAAATGTGGATATAATATATCTTATACCTTACATGTAAGATATAATAATAAGAATCTTATATATATAAGATATAATAAGATTTTAAGTATTCAGTGTGGATCTCAGAGTATTTTTAGAAGGAACTGAATATGTAGGTTTTGCTGTACCATCGGTAAAATAATTCTGTATTTGATTTTTTTTTGGAGACAGCTACATCAAATGCAGGTCTAGATCAGCTCATAATTTAATTGAAAACTAATGGAGGCTTTGAAGACAAGAAGCTGGTATAAAAGTTTAGAAGCTTCCAAATATTTTATGCATATAATTGAGTGCATTTTTATATGCTAAAAGAAAGATAATAATTCATGCCTTTGGGGATATTTAACCTAATTACTAGATATGTCAGAAAATTGCTATTTCTCGCATGTGAGCTCTACTTACACTGAGAAACTGTGTACATTATCACTTTCCTTTAAAGCTATTAGTAATTTTATCTCATAAAATCAATAATGTCATCATTTTTAATACAAATGGGTTATCAGTAGGATCTTGCATCAAAATGGTATGGGTTGGAATACAGCTCAACCTCTGACTCACTCATTTCCTTGGGCACGTGCCTCTCTGTGCCTCCGTTTCTCCATCCACGAGTGATGGTATCTTCAGATTGTTGAGAGGACTAAATATAAAATGTAGACTAGGGTCTACCATATGGGAACACATCATAAATGACCATTGTATTGCTAGTAATATTGCAGAATTGATGAATGATTATGTTGTGATTATTTGGTTTGCTTTTCAAGTCTTGTTGGAAAGATAGTCAGGATAGCCTCGGGTTATGTCTAGGGTCTCTGTTGAATGGCACAGTGAGTCAGTGTGGGTAGCGGTTGATCTGGCCACAGTAAAGCTGACCTGCCTCTTGCCTTCCACAGTGAGCCATCTCTATGGATTTGGACTGATGGATGCGGAAGCCATGGTGATGGAGGCAGAGAAGTGGACAACTGTTCCTCAGCAGCACGTGTGTGTGGAAAGCACGGACCGGCAAATCAAGTAATGCTTGCTGCCTGCCAGCAGCCTGACAATGCCCAGAACGAGGCCAGCACAAGTGCTGTTGAACATGGAAGCCAGACGCTTCTGTAGTTTCTAGTGTAGTTATAAAATCGAGATAGAATGTTCTACCCAGCCATCCTTCCAGGGGAAGGCCTGTATTAGTGGGCTGTTGTACATTTCCTGCTTGTCAGTGTCCTTGATTGATGGAGCAAGAATTCTTCAGGTCTTTATGGTCCTCAAACTCACCCACATAGTTCTCTGGAGAGTCTTGTAAAATAGATAGCGAATGCTATTGTACATCCCTCATTGCTGTGGGGCTCATTCTCCAGTGTGAGCTGCACGCACTCAGTGCCTTTGCAGTACCCGGCGCTATGTGAAGTCACTGCCAGGTGCTTGATCCAAAGAACTGCATTCATCTCAGGGGCCTTTCTGGAGTTCTTGGTTTTATCCTCAGAAGCCTCTGAAGGAAAACTTTGTGAACTATGTTTCTGGTTGGTGATGAACATACAGCCTTGTAATCCTATGTTAGAACTATGTTAGTAAGCATTGAAAATGGGACAAAGTTATGGTTTGGTTTGGTTTGGATTGGATTTAAATTTTTCCTCATTCACCTCTTTCACGGCACAGAGTGAGAAAGCAAAAATGAAGGGGAGGGGAAAGTTAATCGGTATTTATTTACCCAGCACATACTACAGACAAAAGACCTTTGGCTCCCCATCACTGGCATCTTTCCCTTTAGATGGCCCAGTCATTTGGGTGCCTGGCAGTGCTGGCCCTTCGTATCCAGGGAGCAGCTGCTGCCTGTGTCTTACTCTCATTTCAAGCCTCCAGGCCTGCTCACCTTGTTTCTGCTATGTGTTTTGTTCACACCCTGCCTCTCTCTCTCTCTCCTGCCAGGACCATTCGCCCCAACAGTGCGGTGCGCTCCATCTACAAAGCCTCGGGCTGCTCAGATAATCCCAACCATCACGTCAACTACCTGGAGCACGTGGTTGTGCGTATCACCATCACGCACCCTCGGAGGGGAGACCTGGCCATCTACCTGACCTCCCCCTCGGGAACCAGATCCCAGCTTTTGGCCAACAGGTACCTTCAGGGCCTCTGCTTCCCAGGGTGGTGACTGCAGCTATACTTGCTGTTCCTCTAGGTGAACAGATATTGTTGCTCTGTATTGTCATCCTGGGAACCAGTCGAGTTGCCCCCCCCTTGGATGCCATTCTCTCTCAGTAGGGTGGGAAGCTCCCCAGCGTCCATAGGCAGGGAAGGGTGGCATCTATAGTTGGGTGCTGAAAGGGTGCTGCAGAAGAGGCGAAGGCCGTTTCGTTTGGTCTTTGTTCTAGAAAGGACTTGCCGAGCACTGAGATGCAGCCCTATTTACGTGTCTAAGGACATTTTACACAAATGAGCCTCATTCACTGTGAGACAGCGGAGGGGAAAGCGACAGGAACATTTGCAGATGAGGGTAAATGGGAGCGTGGACTCTCAGGTCTTCGAGTACGCTCCATTTCTGTGCTTGGGTGTCCTGTGTTCTTCTGGCCATGGGGACCCCTCCCCGGGGAGGGACACTTAATGTTTTAACAATGAAATAAAGCATTGCCAGAGCCGGTATGTGCACATGTGCGTGGAAGAGATGTGAGGATTCCACTGCACCGGACCCTGAGGCGCTCCCTCTGTGCCCTCCGCCTGCTGTGGACACAGGGCCTCAGCTGCTGCCTACAAGCTAATTGCCCTACCTGCTTCAGCCCAGCAAACAGTACATGATTAATGGAGGCCTCCACAGCTGTTGTTACCAAAGCCAGGGCAGGCCTCGCTTGCTTGGTTTTTTTTGTTGTTTTTTTTTTTTTTTTTTCCTTTCTCTCTTTTCTGTGTCATTATTCATCTGAGTTTAACTTGAAAGAGTATCCTGGTGAACACTGGGGAGCTCAAAGGGGCTTCACCTATGCATACCTCTTAGGTTCCTAAGTTCCTCCTTGCCTTGCAGAAAGCCAGCCTCTCTGCTGCTGCTGCTGCTTGCTGGGAAAACCCAGCCCCCTCTCCTGGTTCCTACTGCTCTTGGCCATCTATTACTGACATTCCCACAACATGACTTCCCCCGAGGAAACCCACCAGCTGATGGGCTGTGGATGCCTTCACGGGCATCTGGTAGCCTGCAGGGTCGCTGGCTTCAGGGTACACATGTGTTCCTCCACATCTGCTGGGCTGTTTGCAGAGTGCTGAGTGCAAGACTACTCTAGAACTTGCATCCCTGACCTGCACTCAGAAGGTTCGCCTCAGCCCCCCACCCCTTGTTCAGGTTTGTGGCAGCGTCATGACCTGAGGCATCTTAAGGAGGTGTTCTCTCTGTATCTCCTTCTGAGTCCTGAGGGCATGCGCCATCAGAAGGCGGGAGCAGCCTGGAGGAAGCTGGAGGCACCTGAGAAACAGAAAAGTTGTGATGAAATGCTATCATCTCCAGCTTCTGCTAAACTCTTCCGAGTAGCTAGCCCTTTAAATGTGAAATAGTGCACCTGACCCCAAAGCCGCCCATGGCACCTCTGCCATGCTTGTACTTCTCCCTGGGAATGTCCCTCCTACCTAGGCAGCTAAAGCAAGACGGTTTCTTCTGCCATTCTCTCTGCCTGGACAGTCCAAGGGCTCCATTTTATTACAGGAACTCACTCCTCACTGTCTCTTAGTTTCTGACTTTTGGCTGGGAGATCTTGCGACCTATCCACTTGGCCTGAATTCAGAGCAGAGCCCCAACATAGAATGCAAAGAACAGAGTGGGGGGCAGGGGACAGGCACAGAAAGGGGTAGAGAGGAGTGGAGAAAAGCCCCGCTGTGCCCCTGGTGTCCTTCATGTTGGTCTCCAAGACAATTCTCTGCCTCAAGGAAGAGGTGACTCTGTCAGGATTTGGAAGGCATCTGTGTGCCCACGATTATTCCTGAGAAGAGTGAGTCATGGCCACCCCAGCAGAGTGTGGTGGTACCTGCCTTTAACACCAACTCTAGCGAGGCTGAGAACAGAGAATTGTGAGTTCAAAGCCAGCCTTGACGGCATAGCAAGGACTTGTCTCAAAAATTAATTAATGAATTAAAATAGAGAAGCAAAATTGAGCATACTAAGCAAAGATTACAATTAAAAAGTAGGAATTATAATTTTGAAGCAAAGTTTCTCTAGCCAAGCCCTTAGAGGTCTCCCGTACTCCTCGGGTGGCAGAGGTTTCCCATCTCATCCGTGCTCACCCTGACTGCTTACTAACCTGGCTGCCATTGTGGAAAACTCTCCATGGTTTTTTGGTCTTGTTTTTTGTTTGTTTGTTTGTTTTCAATTTGGTTTTGTTTTGTTCCTTTTTTTTTTTTTTTTTTTTTTTTTTTTTTTTTTTTTTTTTNTTTTTTTTTTTTTTTTGAGATAGACTCTCACTGTGTAGCCCTGGCTGGCCTGAAAGTGTTTACGCAGAACCAGGCGAGCCTTGAACTCACAGATCCACCAGCCTGTCCCTACAGAGTGCTCGGATTAAAGGCAAATGAGACACCATGCTCAGCTTGCCTCAGGATTTTGAAGTAGTCCCTCCACCCAGGTTTTCCTCACAGCCCTCTACAGAACCAAAGGGCTGCTAGCAGCTCAGACCCAAGGGGCTCTCTCCAGGTCATGGTCCTGTGAGCCTCCCCGCAGGCTCTCGATTCACTGACGAATTTCTTCCCAGTCACTTAGCCGTTGACCACTGTGGTTCCTGGACAGTCTGGTGTCCGCAAAGCCCTCGCTGTACAGTTACAACTGTGTGGGCTGTCTGGAGCCCCTCAGTGCCTCCCTGTCCCCACTGATGGGCAGCTCCTGTGGTGAACAGCTGTTGGGAGAATGGTTCACCCCAGCAGCTGCAGGTGCTGAGTGCTGGAAGGCATTCAGCAGCACGCAGAACTCCAGGCCGGTCTGAGCTTTGGGCCCCATTATTAGCCCAGCAAGCGGGCTCCCCTGGCAAACCACCACTGGTGATTTTGTAGATTGGAGCCACGGGTCAGCAGAACTGTCCTGGGGTGGACAAATGGCCGTGTTTTAACCTCTTCTTCTCCTGCCATCTCTGCTTCTTGGCCACTATCCCTGCCTACTCAAAAGCCAGACTGTGATTTCAGAGTACATGGCTTACTCCAAAGAGAATCTGGTGGGTTGAAGGGAAGCTGCTGGTTCTGGGACCCTTTGAAAACTCTTAGATGAGAGCACTATAGTGGTATATTATTTGTGTTTTAATAAATAAAGCATGCCTGAAAATCATAGGGCAAAGTAGCCATACTAGTCAGCCATACAGGCAGGGAGTGGTGGCACACACCTTTAATCCCCAAATTTGGGAGACAGAGGCAGACAGATTTCTGTTAGTTCAAGGCCACCCTGGGCTCCGCAAGATTGAATCTGTCTAAAAGAGAAACAGAGTCCACACAAAGGTGACCCCAACACTTGGGATCACACGCCTTTAATCCCAGCACGAGGGAGGTGAAGTGATGTGGCTGGGTGGAGAGAGGACAGGGGGAAAGAGACAGGAACTCAGTGGAATGTACAGTGTGGGTGTGGAGTTTTCTGGATTCCTGGTGACAGGATCTCACCCATTTTCAGTCTGAGTGAGGTAGAGGTAAGAGCCAGTGGCTGGCTGCTTTGCTTTTCTGATCTTCAGGTTGAACCCCAATATCTGTCTCTGGGTTTCAATACTGTGTACAATACTGTGTACAGAGTTTCCAGACAGAACCTGATCTCATCAAATTCTTCCATCCACTAGACTTGTTAGGATTATGGACAGCTCCTCTCCAGACCTCTCCTCCCATCAAACCGCATTTTAGACTTAGCCTAATTTGCTGGCTCTTTGTTCCAGTTTTTGGCCTCAAAATGAAAGCTGAAACTTTGCCTCCCTTCCTAAATTTGATTATGGAAACGTATCTCTGCTTCTAATTACAGTCTCAAGGAAAGAGAAGTTACATTTTGCAGCCTGCAAAGCCTAATGATTTTGTATCAAATGTAGTAATTATACTTTGAACATTTTTGTCACTGTCCTCCCTAAATGTTCAATGGGAAGCTGTTGACAGTGGTAGACATCACGGCATATAAGTGTATTTGTGGCCCGCAGCAAAACACTGTTTTTGCAATGATCCTGTTACCTTCACTCAGAGCAAGACAGAGCTGGCTTTCCCTTGATCCCGCTGATGTCTGTGTTTGAATCTAGAGAAGTAAGTTTCCTCATGAAATAGATGCATTATTCTCTGCCTCCCAAGCTCAGTGCAAGTGTTGAATAAGATGATGTACAGTATGTCCTTAACTGGAACCTAGCTTGGAAGCATTTAACAAGCGGTACCCTACTCAGACAGTGCTTCTCCAGACACCCAGCCAGGGCCTTATCCAACACTGATGCCTGAGTCCTGCTCACAGGGCTGATTCTGTGGTTCAAGGGTGAGGTCTAAGAAGCCTATTTCTAATAAGCTAGCTGAGATTAGATCCGCCTACCAATAGACCACCCCCTCAACCCCAGTTTAAAAGATCACCCAGATTTTCTTGGTTTTGTGTTACAAAATTGCTTAAATGTGGTATCATCCCGATGCTATGCAAGTAATTTGCAAAGGCATTTACAATGCAAAACAGACTCCTGAAGCAGAACCATGTACTCTATAGTGAAGTCAGTCTTCTGCAAAAGGAGGCACTTCACATACCCCAGATACCCACCAAAGGGCTAATGAAGGACTTCATAATATGCTTGTTGGAACTTGATATTTAAGGGGGATAGTTCCATTTAGATATTCAGAACCTCTCTAACATTAATACTAAAACAGTTCCTTTTATTTTTTTTGTTTTTTTTCTTTTCTTTCTTTCTTTCTTTCTTTTATTTATTTATTTATTTATTTATTTATTTATTTATTAAAGATTTCTGCCTCCTCCCCGCCACCGCCTCCCATTTCCCTCCCCCTCCCCCAATCAAGGCCCCCTCCCTCGTCAGCCCAAAGAGCAATCAGGGTTCCCTGCCCTGTGGGAAGTCCAAGGACCACCCACCTCCATCCAGGTCTAGTAAGGTGAGCATCCAAACTGCCAAGGCTCCCACAAAGCCAGTACATGCAGTAGGATCAAAAACCCA